GATGAGGAGAAGAATTTTTTACCTTTTTTAACACCGCGACTCGCTAAAAATGCTAACTGGCGTCTGTGAAACTTCCCGCAACGATGCGCAACTGCACGCGAGACGCAACCCGTGACGTACTATGCGTTGCGGCGTGCGCTGTTGCCGCTACACGCTACGCTGGCGGCTGTCCAAGCGTGGCGCTGCGTGAGGCTCAATCGCAGACGGGACGACAGGCAACGCAACCGCTACTTGTAACGAGACACGCAATGCGCCATGCAACGCTCCACGCAACGTAACGCAACGCGCCAAGCAACGCGCCAGTCAACGCGCCACGCCACGCAACGCGCTAGGCGCCACACAAAGCACCACTTAACGCAACAAGGCACGTCACTTGCAACGCAACACGCAAAGCGGAAACTGGCTCGAAGCGTAGCGCGTGATTGCAGGCGTCGCGGCACATGCTGCTCAGCGAGTGCGGGGCCTAGCGCTACACGATCAGCAACGTGTACGCAACATTATAGTTTGCGTCGTTCTGGCACTTTAACGATTATTCCAATTCATTTTATCTCTTTCCAGACCGCACCTCATCTCTCAATCCCTCGAAACCTCATCGCGCCGCCGATCGTCGATTAGTTGGGCCCCGGATTCTTTAGGATTTCCGGGGGGGGGGGAACCAAATTTTTTCCTGGTTTCCCGGTTGACCTAGCAATCAAATATAAAGTGTTTTCACATTGTTTTTAGTAAATTTTAACTATATTTAAAGCAGAGAAAACTTTCAAAAAAGTTAGAAAATGTTTGAAAAAAGTCGAAAATTTAGTCATTTTGCCTTTCCCCTCCCCGGAATCCTAAAGGTTCTATAGGATTTTTCGACCTAAAATTAAATTTTAATTAGAAAGTGTGTAGTTTTTATGCTCAGGAATAGTTAAAAACCATTTAGAAACGCATGCGCTATTTACAGGGTGAGGCATATATATGGCAACACCCCGAGACCACAGTAGCACTTGCCTCATAGCGGAAAACCAACTATTTTTCGGAGGATAGGATGTTTCCCCTAACAGAACTCGTGTTTCTTTATGCAGGAGACAAATTAAAACGGCTGCAAAATTTTTAGCTTCGGATTTAGGAGTAACGGGAAGTTTAGCGATTTAGTAGACAAAGAGGGGTGTCGGCACGCTGCTCCTAGAACCCCGGATATTGGTAGCTCTGCTCCAGGGTTTTGTATTTTATTTCGGTTTGGTCTTATTTATTTTTACCAATAATCTTTTAGTCGGAAACTGCCGAGGAAATTTTGCTATATTCAAAAACGCGCGCATACCCACCCCTTACCACCCTGACGAGACCACTAAAAATTAATTATAAATGCCTGCCAACTACATTGTTTTATTTAAGCAATTTTTTACATTTTAGTCATTGGATTGAACCAATTCCGGGCGTTGAAATCAAGCAATTCAACGCGCAAAGATCAAAAAAAGGCAATTTTACTTTTTTACTATGATTTTTGGAGCCAGCCGAGAACAATTCTGAAATTTCTGCCTACTTAAAGGAAAGATGAATTGTTTCAATACCTTTATCTCTCATTACTAGGTAGTACACACGTTTTTAGTGTTCATTCGTACCCAAAACGATGTTTTCGAACCATGCTGAAATTGGCTTCCAACGGGTTCCGTGCCAGCGCCACCCTTACGACGCCCAGTTTTTCCTTCAGAACAAAAGTTTATACGGTTGCTGCGTTCCAATATTTTAAGAGTGCTTACAGGACATCTGTGGCCATAATTCAGCAAATTATTGAAACCCAGCCAACTTTCTTAATTTTTTGAGAGACTCGGGAAAGTGTTGCCATATATATGCCTCACCCTGTAGAAAAAAATTTAGGCTTGTGCCGAAAAAATTTGGTTTCCCCGGAAATACATTTCCCTAAGGAAATCCTAAAGAACCGGGTCCCGAATTTTCAACTTGGTTTCGTATTTATAGTAGCGAACATGACGGCTCACTACAACCCTGTACGAAATGGCAGCTAAAGACCCCGAATTTTGAGTTTGAGTGGGTGTTTCGATGTTTCGCTGAATTTTACAATTTCCCAGTTCGTACTACTTTCCATACCGCGTGACGATGATCGTGGAGAGCGCCCGGGCCGATACCAACTATCAACAACTGGACCAGTGGCACTGCAAGGACTTGAACTTCGAGTTGGAGGTATGAGCTGAGTATGAGCTCTTTTCGAATTTTACCAACGTCCCGAAATTTTTTGGTTCTTGACTTTTAGCGGGGGGGAGTCGGAGTTTGGGGGAACCAAATTTTTCCCCTGTCATTCTCTACGGTCCTATAACAAAATACAAGACATTTTTATGGCATTTTACATCGTTTTTAGGTATATAAAATATATAAAAAAAAAGATTTGCGAACAGTTTGACTAAATGTTAACTTTTAGCAATCAAAAACTCCTAAGCAAAAGGTGGTCCCCCTCTTAAAAATCCCCCCCCCCCCGTTAACAGTCCAGAACCAAAAGTAGCAATAACGAACTTTCTGAAAGGTTATTTTCAGACGTGGATACCCGAGGTTTTCGCAGAGCCGACCGACCACTGTGCGGGGAACCAGCCGAAGGGATGCGAGGAGTGCGAGGCCGGCTTTGACCTGCGGTGCGTCTTAAGGGGCATTTCGATACCACTAAATTGTAGATTCGGACATGGGATGCTACCCCGGTGCCGGCTGCGCTTTAATCTAAAAGGCACCGGCGACGCCGCCTGGGCCCGAGGAATGGCGCTCCCCGTTCCGCAGTACTGTCCGAGGTGGAGTTGAAAGAGCTTTTTTTCTAGCGCCCTTTCACATCGCGTTCCGACCCTTGAAGCTTTTCTGCTTTTTTAATGGGATAGAGACCCGCAGGAAATCAAATTTGAATTCAGCGGCACTCGACGTAGCCTGATCTCTCACCAATGCTCGGTGCCCTGCCAGGCGAACTGCCTCCGATGTAGAAACAAGGTCAGTAGTCATCAGCCTAAGCCATCCACTTCCGCTCCAGAAATGTGAAGTCTGCGCCCCGGGCTTCGAGCCGTCGATCGACTCCGAGATTTGCGAGGTCATCGACCAGAGATGCAAGGGGCGATACTTCAAATCGTCGGTCCGCTGTCTGAACTGTCCGGGGATCGGGTGCAGGCGGTGTGAGGATGTGGGTTTTAGCTATATTGCCCAAAGTGTGGCGTACGTGCGTGCGTACTTGCTACGTTGCATACGTTAGGAAACACCTACTGCGTTGATGATGCTGAACTCAGGTGGTGACGTGGGCCACGTCTGGGAGTGCGATCGGGGTCGATTGGTTGCGATCAGCCGCTTCCGGCTAGACGTTGCGTGTTGCTGTGCCTACAGTAAGGGAAATTTGAAGACACTGGGAAGCCATCAACTATAATAATTTTGCTGTGGTCTCTGTCCGTCTGTCCGTCCGTGTGAAGCCGAATTCAACTCGAAGGGGAAAGGAGCTAGAGCTTAGCTCTCTTCGGATTCGGATAGAGCGTGCTCGGAAACCCCCAAACTGATTTAAAATCAACATTTAAAACTTCAGTTTCATATTTAAAAATCG